GAGAGAGAGAGAGAGAGAGAGAGAGAGAGAGAGAGAGAGAGAGAGAGAGAGAGAGAGAGAGAGAGAGAGAGAGGCTGAGGCTCATTCCGGCTTAATCAGTTAACTTCGCCATTCCGGTGGATAGGCTGCGTTTGCTACGGAAAAAGCCAATCCCTGCCATTGGACTGTGGTGTAGACGAACCGACACAATTGATAATTGTTTTCTTTTTCGCGTGACAGATGATCTAGGAGTTGACAGCTATATAGCCAGACAAGAGAAAGCACATGATGTTTTTGGTACTCAAAGGAGCTTTGTTGCAAGTAGAGAGTCAGGTCAAACTCTCTAACCAATATAGGGGAAGTGGTGGCTATCATGACAACCATGCTTTTCCGGTGAGTTGTTTGCTGAGAACGCTTGACCATCATTGTCGAGAATACATGGATATTGAAATAAAAATTGATTAAGAACTGCATCATTGGAGCTAGGTTGTTCTCAGTCTAATGGAAATACCTTCACCCATGTAAACATGACACCTTTCCACAATTTAGACTTGGGTACTTTCATGAAATATGATCTGATAGTAGGCAAGCCAATACGTTTTCTTCTCTACTGAAAGTTCATTCTTTCGCTAACATGTAAAGTGTCAGTGCAACCAAGGAAGTTCAGAATCTTCTTCTACTGCCTTCAAGGGCTATTTTGCCAACAACGTTGTCGAGTGCATCGGTCCCGCATGGGGACCCTCCTGGCCGCGTCACGCAGGATTGGCAGGAATTTCCTGGGACGCAAGCACAGACCGCTCCGACAAAGTGCGCCAGCTATTCCTCTCACGAGTCCCTACAAGAGGATAGGATCCCACGAGGTACAACTTACATCCACCCACATACGATCTCGCGCTGCAGCAACCATACCTGGTCTACCAGCCTTAGCCCACGACCCCTCACTGCAGTCTTAACGCGCTCACCCCCTTCATCATCGATCCGCCTCCGCCCTACCACTCACGACTTTGCTTCATGCCCTCTCCTTGGCAGTAACCGCATGAGTCGCCCTCACCCCTGCGCACACGCTTGCCTGGACCAACCTCAGACTCACTGATGAGTGAGCAAAAGCCCATCATAGTAATCACGGAGCAACTAACAACATGTGCTAAAAAAAGCGGCGAACACAAACGGAGGTTGGACAACTATGAGGCAGAGATGGTAAAAGGCATGACCCACCAGGGTCAAATAGTCTTCGGGGGGGAAGACCATAGCAGAGAGCACGATTTCATACGATAATGCGCTCAACAGTGCCTTACTCACATGAGGGGCGGTTTCAGGGGCAGCGGTCGCTACGAGTATCGAAGACTGGTGGCATCATGGTCAAAGAAATCTAAAAAAAGAAGGTCAGGCTACCGCGGTAAAGGGCACGCACCGATTTGTGATTGCTATCTGCAACATGCACTGACCAGGACTATAAACACGAGGCAAAACTACGAGTAGTATCCTTGAAGACAAACTCGACTCCTGACTCCACCAAATCGTGCCAAATGGGAACGAATCCACCAGTAGGACATTGAAAGATACACAACCATAGAGGTTGGGATCAGTCAGCTCTAGGTAAGTCTGTCTGCTACTGCCCGGTGTTGTGCTAGGTAAGTCTGCCTACTACCACCCGCTGCATCGCTACCGCCTTGTCGTGCTCTTCCTCCTCCAAATTCTCCTTTTCTTCCCGCTTGTGCTCTCTTCCTATTGCACCCATTGTACCTTATCCCCATTCTTCAACTCATCCCTTCCATTCCACTCGACTTACCCTCATTCCTTTCTCTTCTCAATGTATCTAGTCTCCAACGCCAGCTAGGCTCATGCGTTTTCTGCAGGCACGGCGTCCCTGCTCTTGGAGGCGAACGTAATCGGACTCTTGTTCTTCGTAGCTTCTACCTTGCTCAAACTTCCCTCGTCCTCGCTCAGTCCTCCACGTGTCCTGACTCCCTCTCTATTCTGCAATTCGTTCTCCACTACCCCACATGGCACTCTATTGGGTGGACTAACCCTGTTATCGGGTTCACTCTCTCTCTCTCTCTCTCTCTCTCTCTCTCTCTCTCTCTCTCTCTCTCTCTCTCTCTCTCTCTCT